CACGTGGTCTCTTTGGGGCACCGCGCGGGTGGGGGAAGACGCTGACTGACTCGGGACTGACAGCCAATGACCTGACCGACTGGTGCTCTGATAATCTTTAGGCTTTATCTATCACATTGCAAGAGGAGAGTCTCTGTTCTCTGATCTCTGTTCTCTGTTCCCTAACTACAAGATTATGTGTTTAAATACTACTCTATTCAGAATAATTGTAATATTAAATGATCCTTTAAATTGGGATGGTTTGTCTGAATTAATTTAGTTGGTATCACACTCTAGCCACGACACTTTATTTTACAGCACAGACATCCTGAGTTTGTTGAGCATCTGTTCGCGGAGAGCTGGGAAGGTCTCAGGTGTCTTGTTATGACATTTTTGTGAAGTAGTTTGAGAGGTGTTAATGTACGTGAGCAGTGAGGTGATACGTAAATGTTAGGTGGAAGTTAAACACACACACCAAACAGGGACCATGTGAAGCATGGATTTGGACCACCTAAAGGAGGAGCAGGAGGCACAGCAGCTCGCCCACCAGTCAAACAACAGACGTGCCATGAGCATGTCCCTCATGAACTTCAGGTCTCGGATCAAGATCAACCCATTTGGAAGCACAGTGGGCCTGATCTCCGCTGTGGCTGATGGGGCAGGGCTGAGTGACCTTAAAACTATGTCAGAGAATGTGGAGAGAGGGATGGAGAGCGAGGAGGGGTCACAGAGGGTGTGGAGCATGCCCGAATTCAGCTACAAAGAAGACAGCAGCAGCAAGGTTGCCTAATGTGGGACATTGGTGGAATGTTTCAGTGGGACATATGCTGATCTCCCTAGGACTTTGCTGCTGTATGCCCACTTTCCACCAGGTGAGGGAGGACGAATGCCATCCTTCCCTGTAGGAAACAACTCAGCATTTGTCCCATTTATCTTTTCATCTGCAAGGGTAATGCCAGGTGTTTTTCTGTAACAGCTTTTCAACATTCATTTTACTTGAAAGGATTTTCCTTTCAATGATATAATCACCTTTTGTAGAGATTTGACATCTAAGCTTAGAGGGCTATTTATTGTAGCCCAGCAGATATTTTTGTAATTTAAAGGCTTTATTGTTGCAAGAGAAAATTGTGTAACATCAGACAATGAAATGGTCCTGAGGTGAATGAACATTTGACCAAAGGTTTTCCATGAGATTTCTACTGTATACAGATATTACTTATCGTCTCTTAGTTAAACCAAGTTATCAGTAATAAATCTTCACATTAACGTCGTGCTCTCAACAGGCTGCACCACACAAGGACTGCACAGTAATTCATCATCGAAGTTCAGCTAACATAAGCTTTAACTATGTGTTCTCCAATTGCAAGAGGCAAAAAGAAAAATGATATTTTTGAGAGAAACATTTCAAAGTAAAATATTTCCATCTTTTTATTAGTTTCATTTCTGCCTGTACAGGATGCACTGGGTTTACTCCATCAGTCATATAAAGATTTCAACTGACATACAAGGGGACTAATATTTCAAGTTAAAACAACATTTCTAACAGAGAAAACAGAATTTGGATAATGAATGTTCTACTACCATACAGTAATCAAACAACGCCATCTATTTTCATATCATTTAAAGCAAATTGTACACAATAACTATAATATCAGTACACACTAACACTGTGGTTCCCACAGATACATTTTACTGTAGAAACATAACTTTCAGTTGACATGAATGAGTGATGCCACCAGCAGGGAAGAATAAGTCTAACCTTACTGAACTGCTGCTGGTCGAGGTGCACTGTGGGTGATGTAGGGATCAAGTTTTGACAGTTTGGATCAATTTTAAAAGGTGTCCATTATGAACCTGACAATGTATAGGAGTGCAATAATTAACAGGTGGAGTACTCTTAAATGGTGACAATATGTTCAAACCACAAGCAACGCTGACAAAGCGTTTGCTACATTTCACCCTGTATTGATGCTCTGCCTGATGTAGTGTGATGATAGTTTTCATCTTTATGTGATGTAGTTGGCCACAGGAAATTTCAAATCATACTGCTCATCATTAACACATCTTTTATCACAGAAATGATCAGAATAAGCTATGGGACTAATTTGGCCACCTGAACCATAGTCCAGTAAAAATGTAGCTAGTGGTCTGAACGCATCTCACTTTGCTGCAAGAGATACAGTTCCTTCACTCCATCCAGATTGGTGCTGCCATTGTGTGTCAATACAAGTCGTATTAATCATCTGTTTATCACAGCTCTTCATTTTAGTTCTCCCGCAAAGCTGAGCTGCTGCTTCCTGAGTTCTGCTGACGTCCAATCCTGAGCACCTCTACTGGCGTTTACAGTGGCATCACAGGGTGGAGTTCAAGAAGTCAAGAAGTTCTGCTCGGTTTTTATCCCGCTGTAACAAAAAAAAAAGGCAGTTTTGAGCCAAGGACACTAAGAAGGTATTCAAGAACATAAAGCTACATCTGGTCAGTTGACAGAAATAAGGAGATTACCTGTTTGTCTTTTTTTGACTTCTTTACTTTCATCTTTATCTTCTTTCCTGATATCATGCTGTACTTGCCTTTTTTCCTGTCCTTCAAATACTGAAAGAAAAACAAGCAAGTTGAAAGGGGCTATTCTTAAAAAACGTAAAATGAAGTTGACCAGCACAATGACCTTGTTTAACAAATGTATATTCCAAGGAACAATATTGTAGTCTGTAGCAAAAAGATTCAGAGGATCTAGAAGTTTTTACATTATTGTGTACCACATGAATTTAATATGCATATCATATTAGCAGGTTTGGGACAACAAAGCCTTCAAGAAATGTTCAAAATGATTAACACCATTTATTACAGTGAAATGAAATGGCTTTGAAAATTTAAAAAAAGGTGAGTTTTGGAGCATGTTTGGGCAACATTGTTGGAGTTGACTTGATTTTAGAGTTCAAAAATGACCAGGGAATCTATGGCAATATGGCTACAGAAGCTTTGAGGCAAACTTGGCACCTTGTTAATGCCCACTTTAACTGAGTGTTAAAGGAGCAACATATTTATCAGAATAGTAAATATGTTTAGGTCTTTCGCAGTGCAGTGTTGCCAGTCATGTTGATGACAATGTTGTTGGAATCACTAATGAATAAATGTTTATAAGATATAATGTTTTTATATGCTGCTGAGTGAATGATAAGTCTATTTTTGGGATCTAAACTTATGGTCACTCAAGAAAAAAAAAATTTTTTTCTAACGTGACTTTAAAGGGCAGTTACCTTGGAGATCTGTACAGGTCCCGAGTTTTCTTCTCCTCCTTTTGTTTTCTTGTCCTTTTTATGTTTATGGCGCTTCTCCTTTTTCCCTTTCTGCTCCACGGTAAAAAAAAACAACAACAAAAACAAACTAACAAAAAAACCAACAACTTCATTTTCAGTGAGTGACAATCACTTTTAATTTTAAGTACATTAAATATAGTGCACAATATTACTTTTTTGTGTTGTTTCTCCTTTTTCCTTTTCTTAGACTGCTTTCTGGATGTACTGCGAGAGTCTAAAAACCAAACACACTGAATCACTTTATGAATATTATTATGGCTATGATAAAAAAAACTGACACAAAGAAAAATCATAACATCTGACATAAGCACTGTTCAGCTCTAAAAAAAAAAAAAAAAAAAAAAAAAAAAAAAAAAAAAAAAAAAAAAAAAAAAATCACTTACTGCTACTGCTAGTGCTAGATGCACTCTGACTTCGGCTGGATGAGCGTGATGAACCTGAGGAAGAAGAGGACGATGAGGATGAAGATGATGAGGATGATGTCGAGGAATATCTACTACGGCTGCATTTCCGCTTCCTTTTTTCTCGTCCTTAAAAAACAGAAGACACGTATACAAAGTTATCTTTGTCTTTATCATCATCCCCTCATTTCCATGAGCTTAAGACAAAGTTAGTATCAAAATTAAGCAACCACTTCAATTTGCGTCATCTACACCAGTACACCACACTAGTCAAATGTGACTGTAACTTTCATGTTTATATTTCAGATTGTCTTGCCTCTGCTTCTTGATCTTCTCCTTTCATCGGTCCTGGAGCTAGAGCTGGACACTCTGCACTCCGCCGACTACAGAGAGAAGTGTTTAAGTGACATACGATGTATTTTTGTGTGACACGACACAGTTTTTCATTGAAACATTGCACTTTATCAGCCAACACCTTCCAGAACAAACAACATTCACAGGTGGAAGAAGTATTCAGATCTTTTATTTAAATAGAAGTACCAATACCATGGTGCAGAAATACTATTTTACCATTAAAAGTCCCGCACTGACAACATGACTGATATAAAAGTACAAAAGTGTTATCAGCAAAATAAACTACACAAAGTAAGAATGCAGAATGACTCATTTTTCAAATAATGTTTTGGTTATAATGGGTCCCTTATGCTGGTAAAAGTTTAAATTACTTTACATAATGCTGAGTAGCATATGAATTTCTCTCTGGGGAAATTCTTTTCTTAACCAATAATAATAATATGGCATAATTTTGTTGGTTATATTTTGTAATTAAAAATCTGCGGTGTAGTTGTGTAAAAAGTAACATATTTTTCTCCGAAATGTAGTGGAATAACAATAATAAAAGGGAAAAGTAGAAGTACGTCAAAGATGTACTTAAGTACAGTACTTGAATAAATGTATTTAATCATTTCCCATCACTGACAACGTATATTCTATGTCTGTGCATCCTGGAAGAAGGATCCCTCCTTGGTTGCCCTTTGTGAAGTTCTTCCACCTTTTTCCAGAGAACGGTTAAAGGTGTTCTGTGTGGCATTTTTCCCCTGTACGACTCGAAGGTGCAAAGACAGAAGGCTTCATATGCTATACAGATTGTAAAACCGCTTGCGGCAAATGTGTGATTTGACTGACTTGAATAAATCCAAAAAACGTCCCCTCTAAACGTCTAAAACAGGTAACACAAAGCCTACAAACCTTGTTGTTTACAGACTTTCTCTTGTTGTTAGCCTTAACAAAGCTACATTTCCTAAGCTAGCTAAAGCTAAAATGAGCTTTAAGCTTTAATAAATGAACTAACTAATGCTTGTGAAAAATGTTATATACTCACCATGGCGACAGCAGATTACAATTAATATATCAGTTAGCTATATATTGATACTACAACTGCTGAAAACAGAAATTATATGTTTATTTTCAGTTAGCTCTCTTTAATTAGCATCAGCTGGCACTATTAGTAGACATTTTGTATCCCATGATGCACCGCAGCCAACAACGTTCAAAACAGTGGGCGGAAACCACAGATGAACCACAGATCTGTAGCACAGCGCTCGCATCAGTACCTGACAAAATAACATTTTGGTGTGTTAAATGCTGTTGGTTGCACCATTTTAATCAGGTAAGCTAACGTTATGCTTTAATAGTACTATTCTAAACGTTTATTCTTTAGCTGTTTGCGAATAAACACAAACCACATGGGAAGTGCAACACCTGTCAGGTTACTCACTGTCAAGTAGTGATGGCCGATGAGGCTTTGTTGAAGCTTCGACACAGTGTTCACACAAATGGTTCAGTACTCGAGGTCTCAATGACACAGTGCTCGAGTAGGACATTTAGTGGCCAAGAAATTGAAGTAGAGTCAAGACGTGTCGCTTATTGGTTCATGGATTGTTTGGGATTTGATTCGCCATGCACACTCCTGTTCGACTACACTACATGGTTGTATGATTTCAAGCTGACACAATAAAATATAAAATAAACATGGACACATGTAGAAGACCATGTTTCTTATGTGGCACGTCTGAGTGTAACCCAAGATACTCCTCACTTATATTTTGTGTTATGAAAACATTTTAAATGGTGCTACTACATTCATGAGATGTGGACTACAAATTCAGACAGATGTCATTTTCACATGGGACTGGTGCAAATACAGAATACAGTATGGACTTCAGCAAAGTTTGTTTTGGGGTTCATTGGTAAAGAGGTTCATGGGTATGTGGGTAAAGAGTGTGCTTGAAGAATAGGGCAGTGGGTGTGCTTGTGTAATTGTTTATGAGTTTTTATTGAGAAATAACAGTATATCCACAGTTTTCAGACACAAGCGGTTTCTCCTTTTACAGACTATTTCCCCAGCCTTGGAAAAAACCCGTTCAGTACATTCATAGATTGCACACGTTTCCGTCACGCAGAGACCAAAATGGCATGTCCATTTATAGAGGATCCTATAGATGAGGACGCTGTATTAATTCGCAGGGAATTGAATTTACGTCGGGAGAGGATATTGAGGCCACGAGTTGATTTTTTTGTCATATCCCCATGTATTTTTATTTGAGCGGTACCGTTTGTCTAGAGAGTCCATAACATATATCAATAATCTTATCCACCCATACATCAGACACATC